CAGGAAACTAACACAGGAACAGAAAACCAGACACCACATGTTCTCACTTATAACTGGGAGCTGAGTACTGAAAACCCATGAACACAGCTAGGGGAACATCACAAGCCAGGGTCTATTGAGGGATCGGGGGAGGGCAAGGGGAAGGAGAGCATTAGGACAAATACCTAATGCATGAGATGCTTAAAACCTAGATGATGGGTTGACGGGTGCAGCAAACCACCATGGCACATGTACACCTATGTAACAAACCTGCATGTTCTACACATGTATCCCAGAACGTAAAGTAAAATTTAAAAATAAATAAATAAATAAATGTAATAACCAAACATATGGATTCTTATTTGAAAACACAGCTATATAAATGGTCATTTTGTGGAAAATTAGGAAAATGTGAATATTTGCTGGGTATTAGCAGACAGCTGGTCATGATTTGATTTTCTTAAGTAACAATGGTCTGGTTTTGAAGGAGAATGTCTTTATTTTAGTGGACATGCTCAGTGCTGAATTATTTAGGGGTAAATACTCATAACTTTACTACTGTCTCAAATATTTCAGCACAAAAGGTGGACAGGGAGACAGACAAGCAAGTTGGAGTATTTATTTTGTCACCTAGGTGGCAGGCATATGGTCCCTCATTCTGCAGAGGGGATCAGGGATGCTGATCAGCTGACCTAAGAATAGGAAGACAAGCCTGCCTATCTGGGCCGGTGCAGTGCCATCACAGGGTTCCTTGTACAGAGAACAGGTCAGGTGCAGTGGCTCATGCCAGCAATCCCAGCACTTTGGGAGGCAGAGGTGGGTAGATCACCTAAGTTCAGGTGTTCAAGACCAGCCCAGACAACATTGTGAAACCCTGTGTCTACTAAAAATACAAAAATTAGTAAGGTGTGGTAGTGATGAGTGCCTATAATCCCAGCTCCTTGGGAGGCTGAGGCTGGAGAATCACTTGAACCCGGGAGGTGGAGGTTGCAGTGAGCGGAGATGGCACCACTACGCTCCAGCCTGGGGGACAGAGTGAGACCCATATCTCAAAAAATTAAAAAAAAGAAAATCAGAGAACAGAGATGCAGGAAGGTGTATGTGGTATGAGAAAGCCTTGCCCAGCCTCACTGGCTTTGTAGAAGAAGGAAGGGACCGGGAACCAGGAACCAGGAAGCCTCTAGATGCTGAAAAGGGCAAGCAAGGGGACCCTCCCTAGCACACTCCAGGAGGAAGCAGCCTGCCCACTTCCCACTGCCCACACCTGGCTTTAGCCAGACTTCAGACTTCCAGCAATGCAAAGTCATAAATTGGTGTTTCTTTTTTTTTTTTTTTTTTTTCTGGACTTGATGTTTTGATCCTTTTTGCACTGGTTTCTTCCCATCAAATTGGTGTTTCTTTCAAGCTGCTAAGTCTATGGTTATTTATAATGGCAGCCACAAGAAACAAATATAGGCCTTGCTGGTCATCTTATGTAAAATAGTAAGACTCACCGCTGCACTTATATGTTTATGACACCTTAGGGTTTTTTTCCTTCAGTTTTATTGTAGATTTTCCTTCTCTCTGACATTTGTTGGAAACCTTGTATTGGCAAAGATCAAAAGGTGTGGCAACGTTGTGTTTGATAACGCTATTTGGTAGTGAAGAGGTGGAGAAGCAGGCACTCTCATTACTGCTGGGATTGAGTAAACTGGAATAACCCTTCCGAGAACAATGTGATGCTCTTTCTCAACATCACATGGGCACAAACTCGGTGATTCCACCCCAGGTACTCAAGCTTTGTGTTCACCCACAGATTCACACACACAGGAAGTGACCCAAGGACCAGCAGTGGGATTTAATAGCAAAAGAATGGAAACAGCGTGTATGTCCATCAGGTGCTCTCTGGATGGAATAAATCACAGTACAGCCATACAATGGAACACTGCCCAGCCATATAAAAAGTCAGGCACTCTATGTACCGGAACAGAATGATTTCCAAGATATGTTTTCAGCCGGGTACGGTGGCTCATGCCTGTAATTCCTGCACTCTGGGAGGCCAAAGTGGGCAGATCACCTGAGGTTAGGAGTTCAAGACCAGCCTGCTCAAAATGGTGAAACCCCATCTCTACTGAAATACAAAAATTAGCCTGGCGTAATGGCACGCACCTGTTATCCCAGCTACTTGGGAGGCTGAGGCAGGAGAATCATTTGAACCCAGGTGGTGGAAGTTGCAGTGAGCTGAGATAGTGCCATTTCACTCTAGCCTGTGCAGGAATGAAACTCCATCTCAAAAAAAGATACATTTTCAAGACAAAAAAGGCAAGGTGGAGGGAGTGGGAGTGGCACACAGTCATTGTGGAAGAGAAAGGACGGAGAGATGGTGGGAGTGAATTTTCTTGTCTACACAGGCTGTCTGAGAGAAGTCGTAAGCATATGCTCAGACCGGTAGTCTCTGAAGAGAGTGGCCAGAGGGTGTGGGATGTGCTGGGGACATTTTCATTACCCACCTACCTCTCACTTAATGAGGGAATCAGGATGTCTCCTGCCCTGACCCAAGTTGCCCAAACCATTTTCACACTTGAAAAAATAATGGAGCTTTTGGAAACAGGTGTAGATGAGTGATAAACAGCATGTTGGAAAGAAATGCAGTTTTTATGTACAAATGTCATTGAATGAAGGCTTGTTTTACTTTCCAAAGGAGGAAAGGGGCTTGTTGGGTAGGCAGTGAGTGGGGATGGATTTTAGGGAGCCCCTCAAGAGGTGTATTCTTTCTGCATCATTTCTTCATGGATTTTTCAAACTCTCAGGGGATTATAGTTATTTTGCCCTCAAATGCCACTCAAAAATAAAGCTATATTACAGAAAATTACCGTTAGGGCAAAATACAGGCTTCAGAGGAGAAGCTTTGGGATAAGTAGAAATAGCCCGCCTGTGCCACAGATAACAGTGCTGCAGGAGACCCCCTCACAGAGAACGCAGGCAGGGCAAGGGCTTCGAGCTTCCTCCTCCTTGGCAGGCGGGCCAGGCTTCCCTCCTTGTGACAGGCTTTGATGTGGATCTGTTGTGTGGAATACCTGCCTTAGACAGGTGTGGGGTCAGCGCAAAAGTCTTGTTTTTATGTGTTTTTGAGATGAGAAAAATGAGCATGTTAGTTTTCTGATAGAAATGTTCCTATTGAAAAGCAAGGATGAATGATGTGAGAGAGAGAAAGAGAGAGGAGAGAGAGAGAGAGAGAGAGAGAGAGAGAGAGAGAGAGAGAGAGAGAGAGAGAGAGAGAGAGAGAAACAGACCAATGAACCGGGGCCCTTGAGAAAGCAAGAGAGCCCAGGAGCTCTCTTGGGTAAGAGGCTTTTTCTTGACACATCAAAGAGGAAGGTGGAGAATTTGGGGTGTCATTGCCGGCCACCATTCCTTATGTGCCTAGAGCTGGAGATGTCATTCTTGGCCATTAGTGCTGTTCCCTTCACCCTCTATGAAGTGCAGCAACAGCTGTCTCTCTAGAATAGAAAGCAGTGATACCCCGCTCTGTAAAACACTTTTCAGTGACTCTTGATGACTCGTCAGCCATATTCAGGGCCAAACTGAAACTCCCTCCTGACTCTGCTCCTGCCCATCCCAGGATTCTCATCCCACCCCCAACTCCGCATCCTCCTGCCAGGCCAGCATTTGGTTTGCAGTCTATCTAAAATTTCTTAAAAGCATCATTCAGTTTCTCCAGAGCTCAGGAAGCACTAAGATGTTTTACTGCAAGTTGGTTTGTTTCTGCATAGCAGATTCCAATAGTTGAAAAGCAGCAAGTGGAATCACTTGTTTGTGACCTCTTCCCTTTTGGAACCCATCAGTTCTTCTGACCGATGCTCCCCAACCGCCATAGTTGATAAGGAATCCCGCTCGCCCATCTTGCACCCCTAGAACAGGTGGTCTCCCTGGAAGCCTCCGCAGCCCATGAGATGAGAATCCTTCCCTCCTCCCTCTGCCGCTCCACGCCCTCCTCCGCTGCTGCTCACATCACGCTGCATTTTACTCCCCACCTGTCTCCTCTCCATTCCCTAAAGTAGGGAATTAATTGTGCATTTCTGCAGTCTTAGCAAAGAAGCAGTAGTAGACAATGCTTTTTTATTTTTAATTTTTTTTCTCTGGAATGAGGGGTAGGATGAAAGGACAGGTGGATGCATGGATTAGTTGGTATGGTAGAATGGTGGTTTCACCCTTGGGTTGCATCCAGTGGCCCAGTGTTTTAGGATGTGTTCAAGTGCTATCTAGGGTGGATAAGCAAAACAGCAGCCATAGTCATCGAAACATCTGCAGGAGCAATTTGCCTGCTGAGCAGTTCCTGGCCATTTCTACGTAGAAGTCTGACCTCACTGAAGAGCCAGTGTGTTCCTGGCACATCAATTCACTACACTGATAACATCGTGATTAAGTGTGTTTCTGCCGCAAATGCTTTGATGAAATTTTTGCCAACAGGAGAGCCACAAGTGGGCTTTTAAGGCCTGATATTGATTTGGTCATTGGCTTTCTGAACTTGGTAGCATATAAGGAAGGAGTGGATGAATTTATTTAACTACATTTGCGTTCTGCCATAAGCGGCGACTTGGGAGAAACTGAGGTCCTGAAAAGTACTATTTTCTTTTGATCTAACCCAGTACTCTGCAATTCCAAGTAAAATGAGTCAAGTTCATGTCTGTGCCAAGGAGCAGGAGTGAGGGTAGCGGAGGCTGAACCCCAGAGGCGAGCAGCTCTCGCGGGGCATTCGCTCCTCATCACTGTCTTTCCCAGGGCCTGCAGAGGGGCCCTCTGTCCCTCCTGCTCATCTGCGAAAGAAAAGCGGAGAACACCTATTGTCACCTTTTTGCCTGGCTGCACAGTGTGGAAACCATGGGCTATTTTAGAACTTATAAAATGCAGTAATTTACTAAGGGATTCTGAGTATAGAGACTCATTTCTTCATCCCTAGTAGTTGCTTGTCTAAGAACCTGGACTGCTGCCCCTGTGAGCCTACTTCATAAGGAACTGAAGGGGAGAGGCACACAGTGTTTCCTCTCTAGTGCCCACACTTAGATATCCTCAGGCAACTGGGGCATCTTCATGTCGACCTTTCTGTCATGGTGAAGATGCTCAACTACCATGCACATTGCAGAGAGACAAGCAGTAAGCCCTGCGGTTGCCTTTTCACAGGTGGAATTCCAATGCACCTGGTGATGAAGCCACCTGAGCAGGTGAGGGTCCTGGTAACTTCTTGGTTTCCAGAAGTTTCACATTTCAAGTATCTGTCCAGTGTTAGGTTTTGAAGGGAAGGCGAGGGTCAAAGAAAGGCAGAGTATTGGCAGCGCTATAGCCATTCAGATTCTCTGTCCAGAATAAGACCTGCAGAGATGGGACACCAGGTTACTGCCAGTGCCCTCTGCTGCTTACAGGCTGGGGCAATTAAAGGCCTGGGCGGGGGGCATAGCCTGCTGCCCAGGAATATGTTGACGAGATGTTCCATAATGAGGTGGTTTGTCCCTGTTTTGGGTGGGATGTGATAGGGTGTTCCTTGGATCTTTGCCCAGCAGTATATGATGGGGATGTCCCTCAGCTGGGGCTTTGCCCGGCGGGGTATGATGAAAACAGCAGGTGGTGGACAGGATGTTTCTCGCGGCCCGAAGCCCCGTGGAATGTTTCACTTTGACTAGGGCCTGCAGAATGGTGTGGGGCTTACAAAATGGTGCAGTTTGAACTAATAGGCAGCATCAACAGAAAGAAAGCAACAAAAGACACTGTGGCCTGCATCACTCACAGAACCGTGTAATTCCATCCTCACAACTCGCAATGCCTATACAACTGTCTTTCTCATTTCAGAGCTGAAAGTAGTGAGGGTTGGTGTCAAAGTTCCTTCTAAGAGCCAGTAGAATCGCCCTTCCACTACTCTTTTTCTGACTGCAAGACGTATAAGCAGAATTATAGTTTTCAAAGATAGGGGTTCTAGCCTTTCCCTCCCTCGACACATGGGATAGCCTAAGGAGAGAGGATGGACTTTGCAGTCACACAGATGTGCACTTACACATCTGCAAAGTCCACTCCCTGCTAACTGACCTTGGGCAAATTACCCCACGGGATCTCAATTCCCCACTAGAAAATACATAGATAATAATAAAAAGCAACTAAATGATCACTTAGTGGCTGGCACCTACTCTGTGCTGGATCTCCAGGTACAGCTGGATGGGTCCACTCTGCACATTTCTATAGGAGATACCTGAAGACCAGTTATCTTTTACCTTCTGGACTTTGAGAGGAATCAGGGAGTGCGAGGATACTTTGACATTGTTTAGATCACAGAAAGTGTTTCACTGTTAAATGTAAAAGGAGCAAGCAAACACCAATACTCCCTGTTCAAGAAGGTTGGAGACACAGAAGAGGGAAGGGATTGGAGGGAGGTTCCACAGCAGGGGCTGTGCCTGGTTGCTCCACCCTGAGGGAGCCAAGGAGGGCTTAGAATGTTTGTGGTTTCCATGGCTACAGCCCAGCCTGGGCAGCTGGAGGGAAGGAAGCGATGGCCCAGGGGCGGGAGCCTGAATGTAGGTGGCCTGGAGCGGCTCCTGTTGGCTTGTGAGATTTGCTTGATGTCCGGTTGTGGAGGGAGGGGCTTCTGAAGACTGATTTGAAATGTGAAAATCTTTTTCTTCTTTTTTTTTTGAGACGGAGTTTCACTCTTGTTACCCAGGCTGGAGTGCAATGGCGCGATCTCGGCTCACCGCAACCTCCGCCTCCTGGGTTCAGGCAATTCTCCTGCCTCAGCCTCCTGAGTAGCTGGGATTACAGGCACGCACCACCATGCCCAGCTAATTTTTTTGTATTTTTAGTAGAGACGGGGTTTCACCATGTTGACCAGGATGGTCTTGATCTATTGACCTCGTGATCCACCCACCTCGGCCTCCCAAAGTGCTGGGATTACAGGCTTGAGCCAAAAATCTTTTTCTGGTGGCTGCATGCGGGCTCCATGGTCACGAGGGATGAGGATTAGACTGGGGTTGTGCTGCCTTCTCAGAGAATCTAAAACCAGCATGCAAAGTACAAAGGTTGGGGGTGAGTGCCATGTGGGTGTGTCAGCCATCCAGTGTGGACCTGCACGGATGCACAGTGTGTTGGAGTCTCTGGACACCTGAAGAGGAGGAGGGACAAAGCAGCGGGTTTCAGGCTGTTAGTTCAGAGTGTAATCTTAAAAAGCCACACCTCAGAGCATTTCCCGGCATGCTGCCCTTCCGCACTCCTCTAAATGACTGCAAAGCTCAGGGCGTCCACATGCATCAAGTCAGAAGTGCTTTGCCATCTCTGACTTTATTTAGTATCCATGGCCCTGAAAGCTGTGGCTGTTAATGTGATTTTGATAAGGGGAGTCTGTGGGGAGGTCAGCCCAGGTCTTTTAACTTCAAAGCCTTTGCTTTTCCCACCACCTGCCCTGTGCGGGCACTAAAACAGGATTACTGACTGCTTCAGACAAAATTTGGGCAGAGAGAAAGCTTGCTGGACTGAGCAAAGCAGTCTCGACTTGATTTAAAAGAAATTTTAAATCAAGAAAAATTTTTTAAAGAAATTTTAAATTACTGATTTAAAAGAAATTTTATTGTATGATGTCAGAATGCATTTAGTGCTCTTTATGTGCCGTTGAGTGGGTGGGTTGAGAGCATGGGCCTTGGAGGCAGCTGACCATCTGACACCCATGCCTCAGTTTCCTCACCTGTAAAGGAGGCAGGGATGGCGCCTACCTCCCAGGCTGCTGTGCAGAGTGAATCAGTATCCCACACATCTGCTGTGACATAGACAGTGGGAATTATTTTGAAAAGGGGTCTTTCAGTCCTTGGGGAGTTGTCTTTTTCTTCTTTGTATACAGAGAGCTGAGGCTCTCACCAGGCTGAACTAGATGGGAAGGTCAGCTCTGCTGCTTTGTAGGGGCTCTGGGGAAGAACCTCTTCCAGGCCCAGTGGACTTGCTGGCTTGACCCTGTCCTTGTGGTGGGGGACTTGCCGGTTGTCAGGAGGGGCCCTGGCTCTAAGAAACCTCCTTCCGTCTGGCCTGTGGCTTCCACCCGGGATCCAGTGAGCCTTGAAGCTTCCTCTCCTTGCAACCTCCCTGACCCCCTTTCTTCCACCTCTCCCTTCTGACTCTTGCCAGGGAAACTTCTCTGCTTTTAGGGTCTCCTGTAATTAGATTAGAGCCTTGACCATCCAGACTCAGCTCTTTATTTTAAGGCCCATGAACCGAATTAAACCTGTAAAGACCTCTCGCCCTGGTCTGGCATCAGGGTGGATAGCTCTGGGTCCCATCATTCTGCTTCCACATTTCACCCTGAGATAGAGTCCACATGAGGCATGTGCTTCTCCTCTGGGCTCAAGTCCCTCCAGCCCAGGGTCTGTATCTCACTCCCTATGGGATTTCCAGGTTCCTGGGGGCTCACATTCACCCCACCCTCAATCGCAGTGTGGGGCAGACAACAGACGTTTATCTGCGGGTTCAGGAAAGGCTGGATTGCAATCTCAGTGGAGTTTGAAAAGATTCTCCAGTGGGTAGGATGGATACAGGTGATGATGGAAGCTCTTTGTGAGTTCTGCAAGGCTTCTTGGAGGGGAGCCCAGGACTCCAGGACAGATGCCCATTGGCCAGGCCTGTCCCCAGCCTCCCTGGCTCCTCTGGCCATACCGGTCCCCAGGCAGAGGGCCTGTGGGTCTGGGCCTGCTGCTCTGCTCTCAGAGTCTTTCTAGGAATACATTTCCTAGGATGTGTATTGACTTTAGGGTGGGGGCAGAGGAGGCAGAGGGCAGAAACGCAGAGGGAATATGAATGTTCTAGATTGAGACCAGAGAGAATGTCTGTGGGATTCTTAGTTTCCCACAGATCAGATAACGTGGGACAGTGATTGTAACTTTTTTTTTTTAGGCAGAGTCTCACTCTGTCATCTAGGCTAAAGTGCAATGTTGCTATTTTGCTTACTGCAACCTCTACTTCCCGGGTTCAAGAGATTCTGGTGCCTGAGCCTCCCAGTAGCTGGGATTACAGGTGCCCACCAACATGCCTGGCTAATTTTGATATTTTTAGTAGAGAAGAGGTTCTGCCAGATTGGCCAGGCGGGTCTCAAATTCCTGACTTCAAGTGATCCATCCGCCTCTGCATCCCAAAGTGCTGGGATTACAGGCGTGAGCGACAGCACCTGGCCTGGTTTGTAATATTTTGAAATTGAAGACCTATTGGTCAACATGGTGAAACCCTGTCTCTACTAAAAATACAAAAAGTAGCCGGGTGTAGTAGCACAGTCTGAGGCAGGAGAATTGCTTGAATCCAGAAGGCGGAGGTTGCAGTGAGCAGAGATCGCGCCACTGCACTTCACTCCAACCTGGGCAATGGAGCGAGACTCCAGTTCAAAAAAAAAAGTTTAATACTAACATTTGGCAATATTTATTCCAAAGTAGTCTAAAGACCTATTACTGCATCTTCCTATTCAATACACATTCAAAAGCTGATTTGGTTTTACTTAAAGCAAATTTGTTTGCAGATCATTTGTAAAATAGTCACATTTTCTAATAAATTCTTAAAACTTTCATTTTTTGTTTGTTTTCTTTCTCATGTTGAGATGGCAGGATACACACACACACACACACACACACACCCCAACACACACCCCAACAATATTTTCAGATAGGAAAATAATTAAAATATTTACTTCCATAATGGGGATTTGTGGCATATATTATAAGAATGTGGCAGACAGAAGTGGAATCTGGAGCAGGTCTTATTACAATAGAAAGAAAAAGCATTTGAAGTGAGGAAATGATTGTACCAATTGACTTGCTGGTGGTTTCAAATCCTTCTTGGAAATAAAACAAAGGATAACACAGCAGCAATGAAGTTGCCTCCTTCATCCATCTTCCATGGAGTTAGTTTTTTATGAATTACAATAATTTATGAATTGCTTTTTATGAATGACAATAATTGTTGTCTTGGAGAATTTGTTCTTTTAAATCATTTCCAAGTTCTGAAGGACTAAGTTGATCCACAGGGTGATTTGATTCTCTCTTCTTCTTCTTTTTTTTTTTTCAGAGATGGAGTTTCATCATGTTGGCCAGGATGGTCTCGAGGTCTTGATCTCTTGACCTTGTGATCCACCCACCTCGGTCTCCCAAAGTGCTGGGATTATAGGTGCGAGCCCCTGCGCCTGGCCCTCAGGGCGATTCTCTGGCATCCCTCTGCTGAGGGCATTGGCTCTAGTATTTGGCCGCCTTGGTTTACTCGGGGAAGGATGGTTTGCTTCGCGCTGGATGGAACAAGGCTCTCTGAGGAGGGTATGGATGGGCCAGCTGTCCGTTGGCCATCACAGTACAGTGTCCCAGAAAGAAACTCTCCTTCTTGGGTTGGAAACAGCAAATGAAGGGGCAATTCTGGGCTGCTCTTATTCTATCTGAAGTGTTCAGTAACAAAGGATGACACAGCAGAAACGTAGTTGCCTCCTTCTTCCATCTTCCATGGAGTTGGTACAAGATGCCTTTTAGAGCTTGAAGTGTTCATGCCTTGGATGAATTACAGTGATTGTTGTCTTGGAGAATTTGTTCTATTAATCATTTCATAAGTGGTTTCTCTGAAGAACTAAGTCGATCATCATGGGTGATTCTCTAGCATCCCTCTGCTGAGAGTACTGTCTGCACTATAGACCTGCAGCAAAAATGGGTTGAATTTATAGAGTATCTCTTCTGGGCCATGGTCCCCTTTGCCAAAAGTGATTCCATCTGAGTGTCAGTCAACCATTTTGTATGAGCTGATGATTCTGATGTTGTAGAGGAAGGAGCTGTGGTTCAATATGCCCTCAGGGTTGGCTCTGTGGGGAGGGTGCAGGAAGGGGTGAGTGGCCCAGTGGTCATTGAGGGGTTTAGTCAGGGACTCCTGAGACGTTTCAGCATTAAGGGAGAATACCCCCCAAACCCTTTCTGTATTCCTGGCATGTGAAGTACATTAAAGAAGACGTCTTTAAGCATCATCATTAAGAATTATAATTAAGATTTTTCACTTTTCTTTCAGAGCTTTTGCTAATATTGTAAGAAATACTCTCCCAAATTAAGATATTCTTTCTTTCTCTTATTGGCTTTGAGGGCCCTGAGCTTTCTGGTTGGCTTGCACATCTGGGGGCCTGTCTGCCTCTCATCTGCAGCAGCACATCACACCTGGCATGGGTGTCTTTGACTTCTTTTTTTAGATGGAGTCTCACTCTGTCACCCAAGCTGGAGGACAGTGGCCCGATCTCAGCTCATCGCAACCTCTGCCTCCTGGGTTCAATTGATTCTCCTGCCTCAGCCTCCCAATGAGCTGGGATTACAGTCATGCGCCACCACGCCTGGCTTATTTTGTGTTTTTAGTAGAGATGGGGTTTTGCCATGTTGGCCACGCTGATCCTGAACTCCTGACCTCAAGTGATCCACCACCTTGGCTTCCCAAAGTGCTGGGATTACAGGCATGAGCCACCACAGCCGTCTTTGACTTTTAAGGACTGGGCCATGTACTCTCTTCATCGGTTTCTCTGTAGACCCTCTATTTGGGCAGGGGCTAGGCCTCTCAGCCAGTGCACCTGCTGACTTACTGTGAACTAAGAGCATCCCTAAAAGCCTCCTTTTCTTTTCTGGCCAGTTTACCTGAAGTGGAAGCACTGCAAGATGCCAGGCGTGAAGACCCTGTGCAATCTGAAGAAACTTCTGAACCAGCTTCAGAAAGACCATCGGGAGGACATCTACCTGTACATCTCTGGACACCTGAACCCCAACAAGCTCTATTAGACTCCTGAGACAGTCTTACAGCACTGGCCCAATGCCAGACGGCCCTCGGAGCAGCGTGTCTCTGGGGTGGGAGAGCCGCCTGCAGGACAGGTGATGAGGATGAAGGAGGCCCTGGCCCACTTCACTATACACATGGCGCTGGTCCCCAGCGATGCCCAGGACACGTCACTGTTCAGGTACCTGAACCCCCAGGCCTCTCTTTCCCACACTTCAGAGGAGGATCTCCTTCCAATGGAGGCTCTTGTAGAAGGGAAGGAGGAGATGCACAGAGGCTCACCTGGATGGCGCAGGAGGGAAGAACTCCTGCTGCCTGACATGAAGGTGCTGCAATACCAGGAGGCCGGGCTCACAGGCGCCAGGGACCAGCACTGCTGTGTCAGCTCCTACCTGGCTGGGGTCACCAAGGCCGATAGCTACAGGATGTTCCTGTGTTTCCAGAAGGAAGTGCTCGCCAAGCAAGATCTCCTGGGAAATGACTTCACTGGGAGCAAGGTGGCCAAGGGCTATGAGAAAAAGCTGCAGCAGGTGAGTAGGGCAGCCCTGTGGTGCTCTCGGTGCAGCGCTCTCAGTGCATTGCTCTCTGTGCAGTGTTCTCTGTGCAGTGTTCTCGGTGCGGTGTTCTCCTTGCAGTGCTCTCAATGCAGTGCTCTCGGTTCAGTGTTCTTGGTGCAGTGCTCTCCATGCAGTGTTCTTGATGCAGTGTTCTCAGTGCAGTTTTCTCAGTGCAGAGCTCTTGGTGTGGGGACAGGCTCATCCCTGAGGCTTCCCTGCCACGTCCAGGTATAGTGCAGCACTGCCCCCGGTGCCTGAAGCATTAGCACCTTCAGTGGGGACAGATTGGGTAAAATGGAGGAGGAAGCCATCTGGGAACTGGTAAGCTGGGGGAGGCCCATCGCAGACACATTGGAGGCCATGTGGCTGCAACAGTAAATCAGATGTTCATGGGTCAGCCAAGGAGTCTGAGAGAGGGCTTGCCTGCCTGATCATGGAAGAGCAGTGAGGGAAGATGGAGAGCTGATGGGGACTGTCACGCCCTGAAGTATGCCCAGGCAGCATGTGTCTACAGAAGGTGCTGGTGTGAGGGGAAGATCTAGGATGGGCTGCTGACTCAGAGGGGAACAGCTGATGGGAGGCTGTCCATCTCCAAATGGAGGGGATGCACAAGGGAGAAGGAAATAGCAGGTCCCCCAGGAAGCAGCCAGACCTCAGGGTTGGAAGAGAGAAAGAGCCTTGGGGGACTGGGGAGGCAGAGATTGAACCTTTGAGGACAGGGAGCAAGAGAGTGAATAAAGAAGAAGAGTTAAAAGGAATCCCAAATGTTGGGTGACCAGGGAAGCAAAGAAGCTCAGCAGCTGGTGGGAGGGATCAGAACTCCTGGGTATGGCCCCCTGTGCCGCCCTGCCCAGTCACCAGGGTGATGGCTGCTGTGTCCTGCCTGACTCCTGAGAAACTTGTTCTGGAAGAAAAATGAAGCTGTCCTAAAATGGGCTGACTCTGTTTTTCCTCCAGGAGCTCCAGAAAATTTGCACGTGCAGCCCTCAGCAGTTCAACAGACTGTACGTCTTTGGAAAAGTCTTTGAAGGTATTTGTAAGAGTTCTTTGATATTTGGTGATCTCTTGAAAGAAGTTAAGGTGAGAAACACATATCTTCAGCATAACAGTTGAGAAGCTTGCATGAGGTTCTGTGTACATGAATGATCTCAAGCCTCACAGAAATTCTGCTAGCTATCACGGGCCCCCTTCTACAGATGGGGACCATCATTCGCAGAGACTCGAGTTCATCTGCCGGCAGGCACATAAATTGTACAGGGGCCATGTGGAATCAACACAGTTAGCTCACTTCTTAAGCCCATATTTTCCCACTAAATCTTCCTGGTTATACACAACCTTTTATAAATTATACATCAGTGACAAACTTTTTATTTTAAATTATTATAATTCAAATAAATTAGTAATTAGTGATTTTAACATTACATGTGTAATTTTATATAAATCCTTATGGAATTACAGGTTTGTTGCAATTTCATGATGAAAGTGACCTTTGGGTGCAGTGGCTCACGCCTGTAATCCCAGCACTCTGAGAGGCTGAGGCAGGTGGATCACTTGAGGTCAGCTGTTCAAAATCAGCCTGGCCAACATGGTGAAACCCCATCTCTACTAAAAATACAAAAATTAGCGAGGAATGGTGGTGCGTGCCTATAATCCCAGCTACTCAGAGGCTGAGTCAGGAGAATCCCTTGAACCCAGGAGATGGAGGCTGCAAATAAAAATAAAGAAAGTGACCCTCATATAGAATCTGAGTTGAGATCATGTTGCTTAAAGATTATGCTATTGTTTAATTTTACTAATGACAAGGAATGCCCAACAATGGAGACCTGGTGGCCTCTTCTCCAGCGCTGCCTCATCACCTGGAGCTCATCCTGGCAGGCCGGTAGGACCGGATTCCACAGACCTTCTGCATGACGGGAGATCATTTGTTGTATGTGTGTCAAGGTGTTTTATGACATTCTGAAGTGATCAATATTTTATATTTTGTTTTATAATATTTTATGACATTCTGGGGTAATTAATAATGCTCAAATATGCTTCAAAGATGGTGTGATTTTATAAATGTGAACAGGTATACCGTTTAACGCATTGTAGGAACATTTTTTTTTTGAAATTACGTAAATGAACATTCTTAACTTCCATATTATTTATACACATGAAACACTTGCACTGTGGCCTCCCCAAGCATGGCCAGCGGACTTTTTGTTTGTTTCTGTACAGGATGAATACAAACTCTACATGGCGACGCTCCTGGAGTCCCAGCCCCCAGTACAGTACGAGGTGACAATCGATTGTGAAGAGTCTGATTGGAGGCTGCTTATTCATGGCTTTGTATTTCACAAGCAGTGGAAACCTTCCTGAATCCCACAAGCCTCATGTGTGCCCCATAATTTAGAATAGCTGATTTTTAAAAATTATGAGTGAGCTTATACTGCCTTAAGAACATTATTGAGGGCCGGGTGCAGTGGCTCAAGCCTGTAATCCCAGCACTTTGGGAGGCCGAGGCGGGTGGATCACGAGGTCAATAGATCAAGACCATCCTGGTCAACATGGTAAAAACCCGTCTCTACTAAAAATACAAAAAAAAAATTAGCTGGGCATAGTGGCGCGTGCCTGTAGTCCCAGCTACTCAGGAGGCTGAGGCAGGATAATTGCCTGAACCCAGGAGGCGGAGGCTGCGGTGAGCCGAGATTGTGCCATTGCACTCCAGCCTGAGTAACAAGAAAAAAACTCCGTCTCAAAAAAAAAAAAAAAAAGAACATTATTGATAAAGAACTTCACTTTGGATTGGCATAGCATTCTTTATACTCCCAAACAAGCGACATAACTATATATGTATAAATTGGGAATATAAATGGTTCTCTGCCAGTAAGTACCGAAAACCATTGTCCAGTCTTCACCCTGGTGAAAACACTGAGAATGCATTGTGATGGCTAGTGTGCTGTAAGCTGGCTCAAAACCCCATGACCTCTTCTTTTAATGGTGACAGCATTCCAGGTGTTCTCTCAATGGCTGGGTTAAACTCGTGATTGGTCAAATAAGAAAATATACTGCAGGGATAATTTTATCACTTATAAAACCTAAGAAAATTGAACACCATAGCAAAGATAACTTTGGCATTTTGAATTCAATAAACTTTAAAGATTAATTTTACTTCATAAATTAGGAAAGACGATTGCTTCTTTTGTATATGAAAAAACAAATCACAGCATTAGGAGGAGATGAGTTCTAGTTCGCTCCTTCAACTAAAATCAGACGTAAGCACTGTTTTCTTTGTGCCAAGCCTTTCCATAACACAGAAGCAGCCTTTGTCTTTACAAGAATGTGAGCGAAGATTCCATTCTACCTTGCTCCTTAGGTTGTGAGGTTGAGTGAGAAAGTGACATACGTCCCTATCTCGGTCAAACGTGAGCATGAAGAAATTCCCAGGCCAGCAGGGCCCTGGATGCCTCTTTCTGTATCTGTGACCCTGGCAGCTCACCCTCTGACGAGGCCGAGATCTCTGTGGCTTCTCATTTGAGCACGACACTGCTTTACATCTGCGGATGGCAATCGCATTCATTTGGCTTCTTATTCCTGTAGAAGAAACGATTGCGGTGCCACTGACAATGTGCCTCCAGGACTTCACCCAGAGTGTCCTTCCCCCGACACAGGCCAACAGGGGAGTTCATTACCATCTTTCCATTTCTTAGAAAAATTAACTCTTAACATACTGATAAACGTATTTTACTGGGAACATCACCAATTGGCCATCCCTCCCTCAATGGCCATCCCTCCCTTCAATCCTCCTGGTTTACCTATTTTTAACTAGGATGTATACGTTAACCCAGGGCACCTTGAAAACGCATTAATGACAAATAGAAAAGGGAGTCCTCCCCTCCTCCCCGTATGATTGTCTCACCTCACGTGTCTGGTCCTGCCTAGGCTCTTCTGGCTCAACTCAAGGGGCTGGAGCAGAGGCCAGTGAAGATGGCAGACGTGGATCTAGCCAGGGAAGAGCTGAGGATGCTCGTGAAAGCCATAAAAGCAGCCCTGGAGTGCAACGACAGGTGAGGCATGAGTGGTGGATCTGATCTACATTTAGATTATTCTGTAATAAGATCTTAAAGCGTTGTGACAAGCCTACCGTTACAATGTTTCCTGGTCTGGCCACTTGCACAGGCCATCGCATATGTGACTAGGATATTCTGCCAAGTATGGCGTTTCCATGGGGAGAGTTTGGGGAAGTTTCTGAAGGAATTTCCTGTCTTTTTTTCGTGGTTCCCTGAAGATTTACCAATAGGGGAGAGGGCTACAGATCTAAGACACCTTTGAATGATCTTATTGGTTTGTAACTTACAAAGCTCTTCTAATATAACCTCCCTGTATTTTTTTCCAGGATCAAATCACAATTGGATAGGGCATACCATTTGTATGATTTTTGAAATGAGATTAAAGGAAACCTATAACATCTAAAATATCTTCAACAGAGCAAAACAGGAAACAAAACCAAAAAACAAAATTTGCCTTCAATGTAACTAGAAGACAGAGAGCTTTGTATTTTGCTCCAGTTTGGTCTTTTTTTTGTTTGAGTTGGAGCCTTGCTCTGTCACCCAGTCTGGAGTGCAGGTGACACTCCATTGCAACCTCCATCTACCAGGTTCAAATGAATCCCCTGCCTCAGCCTCCCAAATACCTGGGATTACAGGTGTGTGCCACCATGGCCAGCTAATTTTTGTATTTTTAGTGCAGATGGGGTTTCAACATGTTGGTCAGGCTGCTCTTGAACTTCTGACCTCAAGTGATCCACTCGGCTCAGCCTCACAAAGTGCTGGGATTACAGGCATGAACTACCGCACCTGCCCTCCAATTTGGTCTTGAGGTCTCTCTCACAAGGGTGACTCTGAACTCTAGCCCTGCCCTAATGGGGCTTCGGGAGGATGGTGGAGGATGCCCTTCATGGGATTCGTTTTCATCTGGCCCTCAGGCTTAATGCCTAAGTGTCCGACCTGTGACCAGATGTCTCTCTCACAAGAAACCCAACTGCACTGGCAGAAGCCCTTGTGGCCATTGTCTGGTGTGTGTCTAGTTTATTCCTACAACGAGAGCCAGTCTCTGGGAGAGCCCTAGCTGGAAAAGGTGAGGTTCAAGTGTGCCTGTCAGGTGAGGGACAGAGGAGGCCACAGAAAAAGCACATCAAATGGCAGATTTGTTACTTACAGATCCCAGAGAAAAGAGGGCAGCATACCTCTCAGGGGTGGCAGGAAGGGGGAACCGCCTGAAACACACTGGCTCCACTGGCAGGTAGGGGAGCAAAAGAGAGTGAGAACCGATGGACCAAGGCCTTTGTTTGGGTCCAGAGCATGACCCAAGCAGCTTTTCCACGGGGAGTTCAGATCAGTGGGTTTAAGGCAAGAAGGCACAAGTGCTGTGGGGTCGCGCTGTGGCTAGAAGTGGTCGCTGGATCACTGCAGCATATGCTCATGGCCCATGCAGGGTGTGGGCCAGGTAGTGACTAATGGCCAGGTAGCCTCTATAGCATGGATACCCAGGACAAAGGGGTGATTCACATCCAGAGCGGGACATAGCAGGATGGTGAGAGATTTTATCATGCTACTTTAAGCAGTGTGCAACTGAAAATTTATGAATTGCTTATTTCTGGAATTTTCCAGTTAATATTTTCATATCATTGTTGACCTTGGGTGACTGAAACCACGGAAAGCAAAACCCAGATAAGGGGGAGGGGGTTACTGTATTTTACAAGGTTCCGGATTAAAGTGCTTCCCCTTCTGTCAGTGCAGCCAAGCATAGGCTTTAATAAATAGTTTTTGTTGTCCATGGTGGGGATATGAGAAAGGAGTTCTGAGTCCTCTGATATTTTGGTTTTCTTTTGTCTTGCAAGACCCTACTGTAGTACACTATAGGAGAATTTTATGTCTGTAAGATTAATGATGGCCATTAGGCCATTATCTTCTAGAAATCTTACAGTTGTGCATTTGATATTTAGGTCTAAGATACACTTTGAGTTATTTTTTTCGTGAAATATATGAGGTTTATGTCTAGATTGATTTTGTTTACATGTGGAAATGCAGTCAATTCAACAATGCTTGTTGAAAAGACTATCCTATCACCACTGAATTGCCTTTGCTCCTTTGTGAAAGATCAGTTGACTTTGTATGTGTCTATTTCTGGGCTTTCTAATCTGTTCATTCATCAAGTTTTCTTTTCTTTCGCCAACACCACACTGTACTGATTACTGCAGCTTTATATTAAACCTTGAAGTTGGGTAGTATCAATCCTCTGATTTTGTCCTTCTCCCATATTGTGTTGGCTTTTTTTTTTTTTTGAGACAGAGTTTTGCCCTGTCTCCCAGGCTGGAGTACAATGGCACAATCTCAGCTCACTGCAGCCTCCACCTCCTGGAGTTCAAGCAATTCTCCTGCCTCAGCCTCCCAAGTAGCTGGGATTACAGGTGCCTGACACCGCACCCAGCTAATTTTTGTAGTTTTTAGTAGAGACGGGGTTTTGCCATGTTGGCCAGGCTAGTCTGGAACTCCCGAACTCAGGTGGTTCATTCACCTTGGCCTCACAGAGTGCTAGGATTACAGGTGTGAGCCATCATGCCCGGCCTGTGTTGGCTATTCTTTATCTTCTGCATTGTTATGTAAACCTTATATCCACTTTATTGACGTCCATCAAGTAACCTGCTAGAATTTTGATTTGGATTGCATTGAATCTAAAGATCAGGTTGGGAAGAACTGATATCTTATCAATACTGAGTCTTCCTGTCCATAATTATAGAATATTTCTCCATTTATTTAGATCTTCTTTGATTTCTGTCCTCAGAGTTTTATAGTTTGTCTCACATAGATATTGTACATATTTTGTTATAATAATTTCATTTTGGGGGGTTGATAGTGTAAATTATATAGTGTTTTAATTTCTAAAGTACACTTGTTCATTGTTATAACAGTAGATAGGAAAGCAATGGATGTTCGCATATTAACTTGTATCCTGCAAACTTGTTATAATTGCTTATTAGTTCTAGCAGGGTGTTTTTTGTTGTTGATTATTTGGGATTTTCTACATACACAATGATGCCGTTTGCAAAAAAAAAAAAAAAGACAGTTTTATTTGCTTCTTACAAGACTGCAAGCCTGTATATCTTTATTTCCCTTTTTTGTCTTATTGCATTAGTAGGAACTTCTAATACAATGTTGAATAGGAATAGTGAGAGAAGGCAGCCTTGTCAAGTTTCTAATCAGGAGGAATACACCAAGTTTCTCACCATTAAGTACAGTGTTACCAATAAGTATTTTGTTGATGTCCTTTTGCAAGTTTGGCAAGTTCCCCTCTATTCCTGGTTTGCATGAGATTTTTTGTCATGAATTGGTGTTAGATTTTGTCACATACTTTTTCTGCATCTATTGATATTATCTTTTTTTTTTTTTGGTCTTCAGTCTGTTGGTGTGATGGATTAACTGACTTTTTAATGTTGGGCTAGCCTTGCATACCTAGAGTAAATCACATTTGGTCATGACATATAGTTCTTTTTGTACATTGTTGGATTTGTTTTGCTCATACTTTGTTGAGAATTTTTGCATCTTTGTTCATGAGAGAGATTGGTCTGTAGTATTTTTTTTTTGGTAAGGTGTTTGTCTGGTTTTGGTATTAGGGTAATGCTGACCTCATAGAATGAGTTAGGAAGTACTCTTTATGTGTCTAATCTCTAAAAATGGTTGCAGGGAATTGAGATACATTCTATTTAAATTTGAATTCTACCAAATGTTTGGTGCTTTCTGTTTTGGAAGGCTATTAATTACAAATCATTTTATTTAATGGGCATAGGCCTTCTCAGGTTATCCATTTCTCCTCATGTGAGTTTTGGTAGGTTGTGTCTTTCAAGAAATTGGTTCATTTTATCTAAGTTTTCAGATTTGTGGGCATAGACTTGTTTACAATATTCCTTTATTATCCTCTCAATGGTTATTAGATCAGTGGTGATAACCTTTCTTTTATTTCTAGTACTAACAATTTATATCTTCTCTTTTTTTCTTAGTTGGCCTGGCTAGAAGTTTATTAATTTATTGATCCTATCAAAGAACCAGCTTTTTGTTTAATTGGCTTTCTCTACTTATTTCCTGTTCTTAACTTCACTGATTTCTGCTCTATTTTATATTGATTTTCCTCTACTTACTTTGGATACAATTTGCTGGGTTTTTTTTTTTTTTTTTCTGGTTTCTTAAGGTGGAAGCTTAGAGCATTGACTTTTAGATCTTCTGAATGTTCTAATATATGCTTTTAATGTGAGAAATTTCCCTTGAAGAATGCCTTGCATTGCATCCCTCGATTTAGACAAATCGTGTTTTCATTTCCATTTAGCTTAAACAATTTTTAAATGTCTCTTAAGACTTCTTAAACTTGATATTTAAAAGCATGTTGTTTAATTTTGAGATATTTCTAGCTATCTTTCTATTATTGATTTCTAGCTTAATTTCTTCATGATCTTAAAGCATGCTTTGTATGATTTCTATTCATTTATATTTGTTAATGTGTGTTTGTGGCCTCAAAAATGGTCTATAAACATGCATGTTCCATGTGAACTTGAAAAGATTGCTGTATTATTCCATTTTCACACTGTTATAAAGATATTACTCAAGGCTGGGTAATTTATAAAAGAAAGAGGTTTAATTGACTCACAGTTCTGAATGGCTGGGGAGGCGTCAGAAAACTTGTTATTATGGTGGAAAGAGAAGCAGGCACCTTCTTCACAAGGCAGCAGGACAGAGAGAAGAGTGAAGGAGGAACTTCCAAACACTCATAAAACCATAGCATCTCATGAGAAATCATTCATATCATGAGAACAGCATATGAGAAATCATCCCCATGATCCAGTCACCTCCCACCTTGTTCCTCCCTTGATACATGGGGATTGCAGTTCAAGATGAGAGATTTGGGTGTGGCCACAGAGACAAACCTTATCAAATGTGTATTCTGCTCTTGTTCTATAAATGTCAATTAGATCCAGTTGATTGATGATGCTGTTCAGTTCAACTATACCTCTACTGAT